ACTGCTTGTGCACTGTTGACACGACTCTGTACCTGCAAGGACAGACTTGTTCTATTGTGTACATTTACAACTCAAATGTTTATTACGAGCATCACTTGCAGATGCTTATCTTGATAGATCTTGATCTTGACAGCGGGAGTGTAATTTAATTTCATCACCTACTCACAGAAGCCAGAATTTGGAGTTGAATTTGACCATTTCAATGAATTAACTGTAAGTTAAATAGCGAGAGATTGATAGCACACTATGTTTTCCGTCTGCTTTATAATTAATTAATTAATTTATCTTTAAGGTCCGCGTCCGGAAGTTTGGATGGGACTGAGGAAAGTGGACGGCATGTGGTATTGGCTAACCATGAGGCCTTACAACGTAAACAATTTTATTAACGATTTCACTAACGGTCTGACTGAGTTCTGCGTTCGGTTTAGTACCAACGACAACATGAGCGACGGTGGCTGCGGCTCCACAAAAACTTTTCCAGTGCTGTGTCTTGCGAAGAACTTTAAATAGTATTAACGCGTTCGACACAGAACTTCATGCTTCACAACTTGATCTCGAGCAATGCTTGTTCAGTCAAATTGCAGTTATTTTAAACAATTCAAGATATGAATGGACTCATTTCCCCTTCGAAAAAAGTTTCTGATTATATGTGAAATTGACGTTATTAAGTTTTTAGGTTGTATTTGAAGTTTTAATGGACAAAATAATTAATTACTCTTATTCGTAGAAATACACTAGGGCAGAAAATACAGAATCTAAATTTGACGATTTCGTATCCATAATTGAATTGATAAGTAAAATCCCCTGGAAAATTGTTTCCTAGGAAGCTTTCTTTTTCAATCATTTAAAACAATATATGATTGAAAGAAATCAATGCAAGTAATAAGTATGGAAGCCATGTGCGTAAAATCAAACGTCCCTTATGCAGCAATGTGCTCGCACAAGCGAATTAATACAGTGCTATTTGTTGGAAACTTTTCTTAGAGGTAATATATTGTATTGCTGTTCTGCGTGTTTATTAAGAATATTTCAAAATTCTGTTGGTTACCATATGCTCAACAATCTGGTTGACAGTGGAACTCTTCTATATCTGTCATTTATAATAGAAAATGTTTTCTAGCACAAGAACGATGCAAAATGCATGAACAAAAAATATTTATTATTATTTTTAAATTCAAATCTGAGTACTATTCGGAGGACTGTTCCGCAAAAAAAATCTGTTCCATGAGAAAGAATCGTAGTTACTGAAGCTGTTGGGTTTTTACTAACGCCGTATAGAAGGCCAATCAGCTCATTTTTAGTATATGATTATCCTCTTGATAGTAGCTGCGGATCAAAGTGTAATTGTAATCAACAAAATTTCGACATGCGGTGTATCGGGACAGCCTTTGCCGGGCTTTAATTAAAAGCTGTGTGTTTCCTTCAGCCAACCATATATTAATATTAGTTCAACCATGGCCGTATTAGTTATTAGTATTAGTTTAACCATGTCCGTATTAGTTATTAGTATTAGTTCAACCATGGTCGGATTAGTTATTAGTATTAGTTACATCATGGCCGTATTAATTACTGGTATTAGTTCAACCCTGGCCGCATCTCTCTGGCAAAGACTGAAGAGAAAAAGTGTACTTAACGAGTTTTTTCGGGAAGCAGTTGATTTCGAGTAGGCAACTTACTTCTGCCTGACTAACCCTCTTTGAAATGTATGTGAATTTCAACAGGCCAGACGTGAATTGATGAGCTTCTGTTAACCTATTTGCATATAGTTTATAGTTCTGTGTTGTGGCTGCGGATTCTCTACTATATTAAAGTCTACCTTGTGCCTTTGAAAATTCACTGATCTGTTTGAAATAATCCTCGAATGTTAGGGCCTGCGGGCAGAGACCCAGGAACGTCTTTTAAGGAGCGTAGCATCCCGCTACAGCGGCATTGGTCCAAAATAATGTTAAATCTTCGTGTTTTGCAACCACTTTTGGTGATTTAACTCTTGCACTTTCATTAATCAATTTAAACAAAGCGTGTGTTTCCTTTTGCGTTAATTAATGCAATATATAGGGCTCATTTCTCCCCGTATTAAACCAAGAAATATCTAGCGTGCTGTTCTTTTAGTTTCACGAGTAATTCGACAAGTGACGAAACGGACATGTATGCGCAATTATTTATCGATAAATATAGTGGTGAATAACGGGCTACATTTTATTATATTTATGTTCATCTTTCAAAACATGACTAATCTGTCTTTATCGTAAAAATTTCCTGGGCATGGATTTCTTAAATAAAGCTCTCAAGTTAAACTTGATTATTCGAACTTCATCTATTTCAAAAGCTTTTACGAGCTTATTTACTCACAACTTAAATACTTAATTTACGAAACTATTTATGCATAAAACCTGATGGGCTAAAAATGTTTGTGACTGCAAACACAATATTACTGAAATGTCTATTCTTTTACATGCATTCACTCGAGTAAAAATTTCCAGCTGATAAATGGGAATTAAAAAATAATCAGCGAGCCCGAGATCAAATGAAAGAATTTGAATGTGATAATTGATTAATTATTCAGGTAATTGAAAATAACGGACAAGAGCTGTAGCTGTACGTCTGAATTTCGAACACGGAATTAAATGGTTTTTAATCCAACAACAATTACAGTTATGCCTATACCTAGCGAGTTATAAACGTAAAATAAGAGTGACTAAATAAAATTAACAACTAAAATTTTCACTCAAAAACTATTTATTTTTACTTTAAACTAGCAGATTAGCCCAAATTTTCTAGGATCACTGCACATTAAAATTCCCGTTGTCCCGAATCACGTCCAATCGAATTACGAAAAAGTGATTAATTAAATCGTTAATTCATAGTTCATCATCGGGATCTACAGGGTGGGGTGGATCGAGGAACTTGCTTATTCGAAACATATATTATAACAAAGGTATTGAATATATACTAATGAATTTTGTAATAACGTATTCAAGAATAATTAACTTTTACAATTTGCCAGTTATAAAGATGACATCACGCAACTGACGTCCGCTTTGTCAATACATCGTGTCAGTCGCGTCCGGTAATTGGCGTCGACTGTCTCCAGCATCTCAATATTATTATTATTGAGTATATAATATTGGGGTCAGCTGCACGAAACTTATTCTTGAGATGGTTCAGGTTATTGGGTTGGGGATGGAACTTCAATTCATCGTGAAGGATCCGTCGAACTGACATTGGTTCCCAAAGTAGGCGGTGGCGCCCCCTGGGGGCGCTGGAAAGATCTGGGGAAGCGGTGAGGAAGAAGGGTGCGATAGGGGGGCAGTCCGAAGTCTAAGTCAGAAGTTCGAACATTTGTTCGACGATTTGTACACAACACGTGCAGCACAGGGCTCCCAGTGATGTGTTTTTCGCCCAGATCTAGTATTTTCTTTTAATTCTCTTGGGTTTCTAGTGTACATTTCCTAAAATATTCAACATCTGGGTTTTTTCATCAATCACAAGTCTAAATAGAATACTTAAGAAAAGATCGCTTTCCATTTGGTCGAGCTAAGCACACCTGATACAAAATTACGCACACCGAAAGAAGGAGAATGAGTTTAAATATTTTTGATGAGAGTATCAAACGAGTATAAACCGAGTTTATATCTGTTCGGGGCGCTGCAAGCCAATGCCACGCCACTGAACGCTGAGCCTCAGTTCAATGTTGTCCCAGTGATGCGGCGTGCATATACATATACAAAACTGCTAAAGAATAAATTGGTTTACTATATTGGGTTTTATTTGAGAAATGCACATTTCTGTTTAACCTTTCTCTTCTCAAATTGCAGCATACCAAATATCAAGAAAGAGGTGTCTATTTCCATATGTGTCTGTGGGGGCGCTAGGAATTCACTGGGGAACCAAGTGGTACCACTGGTCCAACAGAAAGAGCTTGAGCTAATAACCCAAGAGCTGATGCATGCTTACGAGTTGATCGTCGGGGAGACCTCAAGATGGATGGCCGCATCCAGGCGCAGCGAGGAAATATCATTTACAATTACGCTATAAGTTCATGAAACATAATGATATCGGTGAGAAAATTATATTATCTAAAAACCTAGAATTAAGGATCCAAACAAATGCACTCGATGCGTCAAGATCAAGAAAATTAATTGCCATATTTAGTTCAGTGAAAATTCAGATAACTTCTGTGCTGTTGTAAAATATAGCCCGACAATGAACTATGATCGAATTAATGATTTAATTAATCAGTCTCGCGTAATTCGGGCGGACGTGATTCGGGACAGCGGGAATCTTAATGTGCAATGATCTCAGAAAATTTGGGCTAACCTGCTAATTTAAAATATTAAAAAGAACAATTTTTGAGTTAATTTTTTTTCTTGTTATATTTATTTCTTCACTCTAATTATAAGTTTATAACTCACTAGGCGGAGGCACAACTGGGATTGTTGTTAAATTAAAAAAACATTTAATTCAGTGCCCGAGATTCAGGCGTACAGCCCTTGGCAATCATTTTCATTTATCGGAATAATTAATCAATCATCACATTCAAATTCTTGTATCTGATCTCGGGCTCGTTGATTATTTTTTATTTCCCATTTATCAGCTGGAAATTTTTGGTCGAGTGAAAGCATGTAAAAGAATAGACATTTCTAAAATATTGTGTTTGCAGTCACAAACATTTTTAGCCCAGGTTTTATGCATAACTTGTTTCATAAAATAAGTATTCCAATTACTATCTTTCCTTACTCATACTCCAAACTCAAGCAAAGTTTGGAGTATGAGTAAGAAAGAACTCATCAAAATCTACAGACACCGCTCGCTAGATATTTCATCGGTACATAAGTGAAGTTGCGAGGAAATAGGTTCGTAAAAGCTATAGAAATAGATGAAGTTTTATTAAGCAAGTCTAACTTGCAAGCTTTATTTGAGAAATTCATGCGCTGAAAAATTTTAGAATTAAAATAGATTTATCATGCTTTGAAAAGATGGACATAAATATAATAAAATGCCGTCCTTTAATCACCACTATATTTATAGATAAATAGTTGAGTGCACATAGCTTCGTTTCGTCACTTGTCGAATTGCTCCTAAATACAAAAGGAAAAGCACGCTAGATATTTCTTGGATTAATATGAGGAAAAATGAGCCCTATAAATTACACGAATTAACAGAAAATGAAACACAAGCTTTGTATTAAATTGAATAATGAAAGTGCATGAGTTTAATTATCAAACGTCGTTGCAAAACATGAAGATTTACCATTCTTTTGGACTATTGCCACGTGTCGCCATTTTGTTGATCACAATTACACTTTCATCCGAAGCTATTCTCATATGGATAATCTTATACTAAAAATGAGCTGCTTGGCCTTCTTTACGGCGTTAGTAAAAACCCAACAACCCAAGAAAACCCAAGTATGATTCTCTCTCATGGAACATATTTTTTTTGCGGAACAGTCCTCCGAATAGCATTTAGATTTAAATTTAAAAATAATAATCAATAATTTTTTGTTCATGCATCGTCCTTGTGCTTGAAAACATTTCTATTACATTGAAATGGATAGATAAATAGTTAGTTCCACTATTAGAGTTACACTGTCAAATAGGTTGTTGAGCCTATGGTGGGCAACAGAGTTTTAAAATGTGCTTAATAAACACGTAGAACAGCAAAATAATATATTCCTTCTAAAGTAGTTTCTAACAACTAGCATTCCATTTATTTGCGTATATGATGTAGTGCCAAAATACTCCTAGGGTAAAATGTTCTTGAGCAGTCCAATTAAGGGTTCGCGTGTGCGAACATAATGCTGCTTTTGCGGCGTTAGATTTTGCGTACATGGCTTCCACTCTTAAAGTTTTTAACGTTTTATTTTGCGTACATCCTTAAAATTTAATAGTGTCAATATCACATAAAATCAAATTTTTTCCGATGGGGGAACGAGTCAATTCAAATCTCGAATTATTTAAAATAAACAACACCAAAATTGAGACTGCAATTTGACAGAACGAACATTGCTCGAGATTAAGTTCTGAAGCGGGAGGTTCTGTGTCGAACGCTTCGATACTATTTGAAGTTCTTAGCAAGACACAGCACTGAAAAAGTTGTGGTGGAGTCGCAGACACAGTCACGCATTATGTCGTTGGTATTGAACCGCAAGCAGAACTCAGTCGGAAGGTCGGAGAAATCGTTGACAAAATTATTTGCGTTGTAAGGCCTCATGGTCAGCCAATACCACTTGCCGTCCATTTTCCTCAGTCCCATCCAAACTTCCGGACGCGGACCTTATAGATTAAATTTTGAGATGAATAGCAGTGGATGGAAAAAAGTGTGTTATTAATGTTTCACTATTTCACTTACAGTTAATTCATTAAAATGGTCGAATTAAAATCCAAATTTTGGCTTCAGTGAGTAGGTGACGAAATTAAGTTACGATCTCGCTGTCAAGATCAAGATCTATCAAGATAAGCATCTGCAAGTGATGCTCCGGATCGACACTTCAGCGAGCTCGGCTGCGAACCCGCCTGCGAACTCGAATGCAGAACCTAACTTCATTTTCAACTCAACCAGCCATAAATCCATCAATAATGGACGGATTTTATTCAAATTTGGAATATAAGTAGATAATATTAGTAATTTGTGGACGGAATTTTTTCAGATTTTTACAGCGATAACTTTTTTATTAATACGGAAAACCTAACTGCATTTTCAACTCAACCAGCCATAAATCCATCAATAATGGACGGATTTTATTCAAATTTGAAATATAAGTAGATAATATCAGTAATTTTTGGACGCAATTTTTTTAGATTTTTACATCAATAACTTTTTATTAATACGGAAAACCTAACTTCATTTTCAACTCAACCAGCCATAAATCCATCAATAATGGACGGATTTTATACAAATTTGAAATATGAGTAGATAATATCAGTAATTTGTGGACGGAATTTTTTCGGATTTTTGCATCAATAACTTTTTCATTAATACGGAAAACCTACCTGCATTTTTAACTTAACCAGCCATAAAACCATCAATAATGAACGGACTTTATTCAAATTTGAAATATGTTTAGATAATATCAGTAATTTGTATACGGAATCTTTTCAGATTTTTACATCAATAACTTTTTTTTATTAATACGGAAAACCTAACTAAACGTTCACCTCGCTGCCGGTTAGGTCCTAGTCAGGTCAAGTTTCAGTATTTTGTGGCATTAAAAAAAAATAATTGATGTAAAAATCTGAAACAAATCCGTCCACAAATTATTGATAACATCTACTTAATTTTCAAATTTGAATGAAATCCGTTCGGTATTTATGGATTTATGGCTGGTTGAGTTGAAAATGAAGTTAGGTTTACCCGCCGTATTAATATAAAAGTTATTGATGTAAAAATCTGAAAAAATTCCGTCCAAAAATTACTGATATTATCTACTCATATATCAAATTTGAATAAAATCCGTCCATTATTGATGGATTTATGGCTGGTTGAGTTGAAAATGAAGTTGGGTTTTGCATTCGAGTTCGCAGGCGAGTTCGCAGCCGAGCTCGCTGAAGTGTCGATCCGGTAAGTGATGCTCGTAATAAACATTTGAGTTGTAAATGTACACAATAGAACAAGTCCTTGCAGGTACAGAGTCGTACCAACAGAGCACAAGCAGTCAGTCGGTACATGATTACTATTGCCAGGTAAACTGAAACCTGACATTACAAAGGCAACACGATAACAAATGAACACTGATGTTTATTTAAGTTTGTATAGTTAATATTTGGTTTAAATCAACAGAAATATTATTGTAATAATAATTTGTATTGTGGTTTCAAATTTGATTAAGCCAACCTATGACTAGAAAGCACCATATGAGTTCGATGTGAAGGTCGCTCGTTTGAAACCAAGGCTTATATATGCATTTCACAATTTTGTTTTTTACGCATAAATCTACGGAAACTTACTAAAAGAGTTCAGATAGGTGATCAGTCCGGCCAGCTGGGAGTCCTGCTCCATGGTGAAGAGATCGCTGCCGCGCTGGAGGCAGAAGTCGCGGGCGTCGGTGAAGGTTCGTGCGACGGAATCGAACAGCAAGCAACCGATGCTTGTGAGTACAAATCCCGGCATGGCGGCGCAGCTGGAGTACTGGGTGACAGGGAACGCTGCAAAAAATAGGAAGTTTTGCTTTATTGCTTATTTTTTAGTAATCAGGGTGGACCTCTCATAAGTCTGGATATCTCAAAATCTTGAATATGGCATAAATCCACGAGCCCTAATTGTTATTCTTTTTCCTCGATCTCGTGCACTTTAAATCACGTGGAGTATTTAAATCTGTAATGAAAGCTAAGCATTTTATTATATTTCCAATGTATCATGTCGTAAGGAAAGAAGAAAGGATAAAAATGTACAGATTAATTTTAAATTCACTTCACGGTGCGTAAGATATAAAACCCTCGCAATAAAGACAGTCTACTCACGTCGAGACATGAAGCACGGACTTGCAGAGTGAGATATGACGGCGACGCCCACGGCCACGCCGCGAGTCTGCCACCAAGAGCAGCGCGGTGCTTCGTAACAAACCAGCGCCGCCTGGCCGAGCGTCGCCCAAGCCAGGCACTGCATGCGGTCTTCTATCACCGATGAATTTTTCGCGAGGCTTGCGTCAGCGGCAAGAGCGCTTGTATCGCATCGACTTGGCTGCCATATCTTATTAATTCTCTCAGCTACAGCAATGGTCAAGGTATATGATATCCAAAGTAGGAACTTCATTGAAAATGTGTAATGCGCTGCTGCAGGACACTGCCAATATTCAAATACTGATTAGTGAACGCTTCTGTTTTGAAGTCTGTGCGAGGAAATGTAAATGGTTGGAACTTGAGGTGTTGCTCACATTTGTTCGGTCATCCAACTGAAAAATATTTGCAGATCCACCTAGATTGAACTCTTCATGACAACGACACATTCCCATTTGACTCATCACAAGTCGTATTTTTCAGTGAGCTTGCGTGAATTTACATTTTAGTTGAGTGCGATGATAATTACATCGATTACCGGTGATCACTTAAGTGGTCGAAAAAGCCTGCGTACTTCTCGATTGGGTCGACCCGCAGTGAGTCTATCACAACGATGAACTGTCTTTCACATGCTCACGCACGCCCTATCTGCACTAAAAGCATCTCGCGTTTTATATTGTTCACAATGGATTGAAGTAGCAGCGCAGTTAGTAAGTGGCATTGCAGCAAAATGTTCATTGATTGGTCATAATCAATGCACTTAGAAGCGATTTCTTCTGTGCAGTGGTTATTAGGGAGCTCGCGTTAGTGAGTTGTTTTTTTAGACTCATATCTGAGAAAGTTGAAGTTCGTCGATTTTATCCATGATATATAAAAGAATAAAATTCAGTAAATTTTAATATGAACTTTGTTTCACGAATGATTCACTCTGTGTACAATGTTAACCTACAGTGTACGCAGAATTATCCTACAGTGACTTTATTTGTAAGTTTACTTTTAAATGTTTCACCATCTGTCTTCAGATTCTCGGATTATATTTGACGCGTAGATGGCCGCGTATTCACGTATTATATTTGACACGTGCATACGTAGATGGCCGCGCAATTAGACAGTGGCGGCCATTAGCCAAGAACGGTGTGCCGCTAAGAGCCTGGCCGTCATACCGACGAGATGCATGTCAGTGGACACGGAACAGCGCTGGCCAATATCATAATGATTTTTATACTCCTGACTCTTTCTCCTTGTTACCTAAGTTATTCAAATTTTCATAACTTGGTTCAAACGACTGCCACGCCGTCTTTAGGCTCAGAAAATATACTGTATACTCGTGCATGAGTTATACAGAGTTGTATACATTTAGGAGGCTGGCTGCAATAAGTCAGCAGGTTGCCGTCACTTTTTGAGTGCTGCCTGCTCACGGCTAGACCTGGGCATTCCAGTTTGCCGTTTGTACGCAACTCTCTGCTCTGTGATCGTTTTAACGTCTTCCTACCAGGATTAGTAAGGCAAATTACTCATTTCCAACGTATGAGTGCTGACATAGCCTCTGCTGCTATCAAAGTCAGGCATTCAACTCACGTGCGTCAAAAGATTTCCTGGCCGCTTAGTTTAGGTAGGAGTCTTTGCGTGTTAAAATCGGGGATTACAGCATTTTAGTGTCGCATGTTTGCCCATCAGCAAGAAAATTCCAACGACTAGTAACCTGATGGTTTGAACTCTCCTTGCTGGACGAAAGGGAGCCAGTGGATGCAGTGTACCCCGATTTTGCCAAAGCATTCGACATGGTTCTGCACGAGCGGCTCTTGCGTAAGTCAAGTTTTTGGGAATTGAGGGAAATGTACTCCAATGGATCAGAGATTTTCTAGTAGGTAGACGATAACATGTCAGTATCAACGGAACCGTATCAGACTGGGCAACAGTGCGCAGTGGTGTTCCACAAGGAAGCGTTCTTGGGCCTGTTTTGTTCGTTGCTTCTACAAACGATCTGCCAGAAGTAAAGTCAAGCGTGTGCCATATATGTATGCCAATGACACAAAAGCTTATAATGAAGTTAAGGATGCGTCAAATAGAGTGCAATTGCAAAATGATCATGTTTGTTTAGTTAGCTGGGCTGATACGTGGCAGCTGCGTTTTAATGCTGACAAGTGTAATGCATTGTTCTTCACCTCGGGATGAACAATGAACAGCAAGATTACACTATTAGAAGGCATGGTTGCAACGCGAGAGTAACGATTGAAAAGTCTATCGTGGAAAAAGATTTGAGAGATTTTGTCGACAAGGAGCTGAAATTTTCTAGGCATATTGAAACGCAAGATAATTAATCCATAAACTTGATTGATTAGACGCTCTAAAGAGTTCCTATATGAAGAAGCTGTTGAAGAAGCAGAACACTGAAGCTGTTGTTCAGCGCTGTCGAGCGCCTGAACCCAGAGTTGGGCAACACCGTGTGGTCACCGAAACTTGAAAAAAATATATCGACGTCTGCGTGGTGACATCATTGAAGTATACAAGGATCCTCATGGTTTATAAAAGATCCCAGAAGGATTACTAGAATTTGAACAAGAACCAACACCATCGGCCACGGTTATAAACTGAATAAACTGCGTTGCAGCTTATCGACGCGACTTTGAGTTACCGTTATGTGGATCAGCCTCCCTGATTACATCGTTGACGCCAAGTATAAATGCGTTTCAGACTAGATTAGATAAAGCTATGGAGAAATATATGTTCAGACTTGAAATGCATACTAGCACCATATCGAACCTGATGGAACTCTAGTAGCCATTTCAAACCATCGTCAGTTTTGAAAAGATCCGGTCAAAGGGCCTGTTATTAGATCTACTGTGAACAAGTCACGAAACAAGAATCAGCGACAAGGCCACAACAGGTCTATTCTTCAGCGCCGACATCAATGATATGATAATAGTATTGTCACCCGTAATTGACGTAAGAGAATCTCATTGAGAAAAGTACCCTGCTCATTCACTTTTAATTCCTCAGGCGCATCGTAGAAGCACGTGAACTCGACTTTCATTTTAAATCACTCTTCTCCACTTAGTTGTGGCAAGTACCTACACCATAAATTTTTATCAACCGCTTTGCGCCTCGTTGTTGTGTGAACGTTCATCTGTCGCATCTGTTCTTCCCTTCGCCTTTTGTTGAGGCTACAACCCTCATTGACAAGGCAGCACAACGTGTCCATTTTTCCCTTCGCTTAAAATAACGCTCACATCGGGGCGTCACTTCCGTTCTTCCAGGTGTGATCTCGAGAACCGCGCACCTCCCACAATTTGTCAATTTATTCTCCCTTACAATATTCGCCCACACTCCATCGTATCATTCTCCCGTCCACTGAAACTGCCAAGTCAGCATTCCAGGCATTCCTGACAGTAGCATTCCTTCAAGCTTCATAGATGGGGAAATACTCGTACCAACTCTGGACAGGAATCGATGATCGCTAATGCAGCAGTAGCTCACATGCGATCCTTCATTTCATATTCATCAAGGAGTATGATTCAAGTGGTAACAAAATTCACATTTCTATCAAGCCCGACGAAAATGACGAATAAATCTTCGAATAAAATAAAATTCAACCATATATAAACAATTTACAATAAAATACTTTTCAAGATTTCATAAATGCACGGAATCATATTCCTCTCACTACAAACGTCAACATCCTCTATAGACAAAGCCGTAAATGATAAAACTACATTAGTTGGAAAATTTTTCATCGAAGAATCCATTGATTTTCAGTTCAATAATAAAGCGAAACTAATAGTTTATATCACCATCCAGACCTGTGGTCCGACTCTGGAAGGCTCCGACATGATTTAGCAGCTAATCTAAGTGGAATGAATCATCAATGGCTGAACTGACTCTCTCGAGTACATAATAACTCAAGGTAGAAGAAGCGTTGTAGATCAATTCTACACACGAAATGTAAAGAAGATGTTCGCCGCTACTTTTAAGACTATTGTACGAATAAAACTTCATATCACATAAGCGGTAGTTATCACAAATTTGCAACAGGAAAAACAGCATATCGCAATCCAAAAAAAATCACCTTTCCTGTTTATAATTTATCTATAATGAGAAGAGCGGTACTTCAAAACGTCAAACGTTGCAGTGCCGACTCGAACAACACTATACTGAGGCACTGTACTCTATCATGACATTGTACTCTTCCATGTACTCTGTATTGAGGCACTGTACTCTACCAGTTTTCTGTCTACCGTGACACTGTACTCTACCGTGACACTGTACTCTACCGTGACACTGTACTCTACCGTGACACTGTACTCTACCGTGACATTGCACTCTATCGTGACACTGTGCTCTACCGTGACACTGTACTCTACCGTGACACTGCACTCTACCGTGACACTGCACTCCTTAGTAACCATGACAGTATTTCAAGATATCGTGGCTACGACGTTCGCCGCCTCAATAACGGTAAGTCTGACGTATTTTACGACCAGATTTAAGCGCAATCATACAAACTAGATGAGCTGTTTCTCCTCCTGTTCAGACTCTTCGAAAACGCGTGGCTTAAATTTGATTAGCACTTGTCTGGGACTCTTCGGCCATTCTACAGACTACTTTACCGGCCAAATTTAATAAGGAGTTATTCAAGTACAGCCAAAAACGCCGAATAGCCATAAAAGCTTAAATTCCTTCCACTGTTACTTATAAATGTTGTTCTTATTCTGATTTTGCAATGAAAAAATAAGTCCAGAATCCTCTACTATTATAATTTGACCAGACGCCATCAATGCAGCTCCGGATATTGCAGAGGAAGAGAGCTTCTGTTCACTGAAGGGCGACGACGAATTCCTGGCAAAAAGTACAAATAATAATGACATGAAATTTAAGCCAATTCTTGTGAAGAAAGTAAAACTTCAACTCAGTTGAAAACCCGGCATTGATGAATTACATTAAGTAGAGTGAACAAAAATCAGCATTTTTCAAAGCAAAAAATTTCTAAGCCCTAACTGGATGAGCAATACTGCGTTTTCAAACTATTGCATACAAGTTTGATTTTTAAATTTCATTATTGCGTGCTTATAGTCCTTCAGCGAGGATAATGTCACATTTTGCCTAGTGAGAGTTACTATCCACGAAAGGCACAGATCTACAATGATGATCTGGAATGATGAATGATGAACCTTAATTCAAACCATATATGGTACTCTCATTTCGCACAAATAACAAACAACTGCAAAATGATAACCAAAGGTGCAGCTCCCATCTCACCCGTCATTGGCAGTCAAAACGCGAGTATTAAAACCCAGCCGAGAGGAGCTTGGGTCGCAGGAACAGCTCACCCAGCGCCCCCTCGAATCCCGGCACAGCAGCTCCAGCCGATCCTGTCACAAATACAAACTCACGGACTGCAATTTGTCAACTAAACTGTACTTTTTGATCGATAAATTGAAACAACTTTGGGATGTCTTTCCAAAAGGATACATGATATCGAATTACTCACTCGATGATGAACAGCCAGGGCGATGGTTTCGATAATAGCCTCGTTATTAAAAGACTTCGTTGCTGATTCACAATGTTGAATAGATCCAGCGATGTCTTCTTCACCTTGGCCTAACTCTACATGAGCTGTGAAGTCAATATTATCGACAGCGGTAGATGAATTATTTTCAGATGCGGAAGACGCCTCCCATTCATTAGCACCAGAGGTACAAGATGCCAATTGGTCCCCAGAGCCAGTAGTTTTCTGTAATACCATAGTCAAAGGACTCCAGTTGAGAGGGATCTTCTTCAATAAAACGTCGAGTCTTGTATCCAGCAAGAAAATGAATTCGTCACCAATGCCCAAAACCACGCCAGTAAACTGATTCAGATTCGAAGACGAGATCAGAGGCATGAGACCTCGAAGAGGCGTTGAGAAGAAAGTAGTGTTGAGACGGCGTACTTCACATAACAGTTCTTGTCGCTGCCACCGCTCTCTATGGACAACCTCCAGCTCTATCACACTGACATTGCTCTCTTCATTTGTAGAGCTGTAGGCGAGGGCAAGGCTCCAGCCTCCACAGCCACAACAGAGAACTTCTTCACGCTCAGTTCCTGGCAGTTTAAAATCCGTTGCCAGCAGTGAGATTTGTGGGTCTACTATACAATTATGCCGCGCATCAAGCTCTACCAACAATGCGCGCCAAGTTCCCGTCGAATTAAGAGGCCAAATGATAACAAAGCGGCTGAGTGACGTCGATTCAGAATTTTTTGTGGCTGTTTGCGATGACGACGTGAAGATCTCAGCTCTCGACGGCTGGGAGAAGCGACTGCGAGGGTAGGAAGGAGAAATTGTACCGTACGTTTCAGAAAGTTCATTCGCAGCTCTCGGAGAAACTTTAGTTCCAAACTCTTCAGTAATCTCCAGAGGAGGCACCACGGTGGTTGTGTTTTGAACGTGACATCGTAACTCAGTTGCAGCAGTCACATCGACACAGCAATCGTCTTTAGGGTGTACCGATCTAGTCAGCAAACTACTAACAAACAACCTGAAACAAAGAAATTGTGTTAATATTAAGTTTAAAAATTAATGTGATGGTAGTAAAAAATTATAGCACTCACTAAAAACATGCATGACTGTAAAAATTCAAAATTAAAATAAATGTTTAATATAAAAACATAGAATGAGTAAACAAGAAAAAAAGCATACCGTGTTTTAAATCAGAGAGCTACGCACCTCTCGGGAACACCTTCATTTGGTAAAAAGTCGTAGCTTTCTTCCGTCACTTTGATCCAACTCATCTCAGGGGTTGCTGTATCTCCTGACCATATCTGAAGCCCCGTAGCGTGAAGCAGCAAAATGTAACAAAAACCTGAGGAGTTATTGCAAGGTTGCACGCAACACCGAAGTATCCTCACATTATTGTCCTTCTGAAGATGGTAACAGCGACGGAAGACGCCTTCGTGCACGTCAGCTACCTCCAGCGTGGTCCGTTCTGCTGTCGAGTTGTGCGTGTCATTAATTACTGGTACGTTAGTCGAGTCTTCAATATCAGAAAGACGCTTCGCCTTTTCCTCGAGCTTTTCACCGCATAGGCGTTCTGTGGGTAGGCGAGGACTGACATTCATGCCTGGATTACTGCTTATATGAGCCTTTTTCGCTTTCAGAGTAACTTCATGCTCTGGCTTACGTTTCCTAGAATGGAATTTGTCATGACGAAATTGATAATTGTCTTTTGGGATGATCGGCGACAGGCAAGTTGACTCTAAGGAGCTTGCCAAACGAACGTTAGACGAAGCGATTGGTGATGAATCAGGTGAATTTTCTTTGTCTTCCCTGAAAAAATGAGAGCCGCTTCCAATACCAGGAACAGAATGAATTTGAACATCGATCCTTTCGTTAATTTCTTTACACTTTTTTAAATCATTCTGCTGAGAAGTGAGAAGTTCGAGTTCCTCGGTCACTGTTATTTCTTTCTTGAGTGATTGCAAATTACTCGATTTGCCAAGTAAATCTTGAAGTTTAGTCGACGTAAAAACAGAACCAGGCCTAGTATGACACCCACGGTTTTTACGCGGACCTCTCTCGTCTTTTGCTTGGTTACCGAATGGAGCAAAACACTGATGCGCCATAGTTGCTGGTGTACTAATCACATTGCCCTCGTCTTCAGTGGAAGATTCTTCCGTCTCCTGAACAACATTGACGTCATCGTCAGCTACGCTGGTAGGAGCCTGAGAAACGAAAAAAATATCGGGAGAGCCATCTCGGAAGGTCACATTTTTCTTAGTTTCAGCACAAATTGTCTCAGACACATCAAGAGAAGCCAGCCTCGAAGTATTGCCGCCGAATTCAGTAGGAGAGGTATCATTCATCTGAAAGTTATCGGGCAATTTGCTCTCGTCAAGTGACCTGGTATCGTTCATAGCGAATTTTATAATTTCGGTCCGATGTGTATTATCAGAATCAGACAGAATATGTGAGTCCGCTTCACATGGAGCAGCGTCTGTCATGGATCTAGCTGCTGAATTTACAGAGGCTATCTGAAGTGGCTCAATAGTCGAGCCAGCCGTTGATTCCGACCGATTGTTAACTTTATCAGTGACTGTCACCGAAAGAAACGGTGTTTCAGAATCTGATGCATGCACTCCCGTGTGCCGGACCGTAGGCTCACATTGTTTCAACTCAGCATGAATTATTTCGTTCACTGCTCTATCGATCATTTGATCCGATTTGGCCGAGGGTGGGTCTCTCAACCACCGATCAGAGTCATTACTAAACGCATGAAATTGACTAACGGTTGCTGGTTCTTCTGTAATATTTTCACCCCAGCCTGTGTTTGCTACTGGCTTGGCAGCTTGAGGTGACCTAGCAGGGCATCGGCCACTGAGTCCAGGGGCGTTTATATCGTTTGGTGTTCCAGCGGACAGTCGTCGGGTAGCAGGACAGGGAGCTTCGGGGCCGGTTTCTCGCTCGGACTTCCTGTCTGGCCCATCTTGCTGCGTTTTTCCTGTAAAATTAAAACCTAGTTAAACGAATGAGAAAAAAATTCTGAGGGATTCAGGGAAAACGATTACAGGGCCTAGGAGAGACGCCAATAAGCCTAAATTGAGGTTTTGGTGCGTGCATTTAAAAACAACAATGTTATACAAACATTTTTGAATAACATGTAATAGGATTTTACCTCTTAATGAAAGGTTTTTCAATTCAAATCAATTGTAATTCAATCGCAATTATAAGTAGAATATGGGAAGAGATAAAAGAAGAAATATCAATTTCGTTCCATCATCAACGCAATTAAAGAGTAGAATATTGTAAAATATTTAAGAAAGACACAGTATTTCGCTCGGAAATTAAAAAAAAATGTAACAGAAAAAGACACCGGGGCTGACCGCGTCGCGCGCGTGCGTGGCGTCTGGTCTGGAGGAGTCGGTCGTAGCGGTGCAGCTGACGGCTCTTGCGCGCCAGCGCCGCCTGCAGCGCCCGCAACTGGCAGCTCAGCTCCTGAACACACAATGCACGGTAAAAACATGTAGCGCACGGTGAAAACATGTAGTACGCGGTGAAAACATGTAGTACGCGGTGAAAACATGTAGTGCACGGTGAAAACGGGTAGTGCACGGTGAAAACAGGTAGTGCACGGTGAAAACAGGTAGTGCACGGTGAAAACATGTAGTGCACGGTGAAAACACTAACACGGCACGATGAAAACACTAACAGGGCACGATGAAAACACTAACAGGGCACGATGAAAACACTAACAGGGCACGATGAAAACACTAACAGGGCACGATGAAAACACTAACAGGGCACAGTGAAAACATGTAGTGAACGGTGAAAACTATGCACGTTCAGAACAGGGTGTGGTGAAAACGGCAAGTTCAAAATAGGATACTATGAAAGAGGCGCATGTTCAAAACAGGGTACAGTGAAAACAGTGCACAGTTAAACCATTACAAGTTTAAGACGAAACACAGTAAAAAAACACTGAAAATAGAATAAATATGACAAGCCATACATGGTGAAAACAATTCACGGACAAAAGCATATGGCTGATAATCCTAGCTCGTGGCTGTCGAGAATCTCATCCTTCATGATTGATCGCTCTTCTTTTATTGCATTTTCTGGCGATGAATTTATGCTTACTTGAAGCATGAGATCATTAAAAGGTCATTGCAACATTCGTGTTCCATCGCTGCTGGTTGACTTAATCGTGAACTCGAATTACGTGTTTCAAAACAAAAATAAACTCTCAGTAAGCAAGATAAAAACTTAAGAAAAAACAATGAATCAGTCCAAGAAAACGCTTTGTTGCCAAAAAAAAATTAGCCAAAGTAATGTCAACACTGACGTACAATTTATATAGTTCAACAGTCCAGTATTCAAATTAAGAGATTAATACGATCCTATATACGGTAGGCCATTTCTAAAGCAATACAAGGTGTAATTAATATCAGCGAACGTCGAACTTTATGCTCGCAAGAAAAGTATTTAATAGAAGCACACATTTTCACATAGAAGCACACATTTAATGAAGCACAATAGAAGCACACATTTAATAGAAGCACACTTACATTTTCGTCGTCGTCCATCATCAGACGCAGCGCTGACCACAAAGAGATCTCACAGACTCTCTTTGTCTCTTTCCCTTAGCAACTTCTAAAAAATTCTCGTCTTTTTACGCGTCTATGGACAAGTTTTGTCTAATAATAACTCATAACAATTATATGTTCAAGTGCAAAGCCAGAAATTGATTTAGGTATCAATTTGACCTTTGCTTCCAGGAATGCTGATGAAAAACGCATACAAAAATGTTGATAAGTTTCAATATCGGTAATTCCAACTTCAAGACATGAGATAGCCTCCCATAGCAGTGACTTCAGTGTAACTGAATACATTCCACTCAGCTTCATGTTTTACAAGAGACATTTTGCCAATGAGTTGATTCAATAATAGCTCAACATTGCCCATAGCCGATAATTACTAATAAAATAAAAAATAAATGAAATTAGGCGTAGTATATCAAGTCTATCGTGCGTAATGAAAACATTCCGAGAGCTTGGCTAAAGATTTTGAATATAAAGCCGTGAGCGACGTGAGAGCCAAAAGTAGAACCGAGCTGTTCAGAGACATGTAGTAAAATTAAATTATATTGAATTTGAACATTTATAAAAAAGGTAATGAGCGTCAAGGATGGGGGGGAAGCTCGGCTCCCCAAGCAGGGAGCGTAATGGGCTTCATAAGCCTGCTCGCTCCTGCCCCTCGCCAAAATATGCCTAAGTAAATAGAAATCTTGTCTCAGGCTGTCAACCATAACCTGCTGGTCACCTGACTTATTGTTTGCCTCCGAATGAGGAATTTGGTACACAAAGTTAAATCGAATTGCAGAGACTCGCGTCCAAATCCACATTGAAATACTGACACGCGAGACAAATTAAACAATCGAATTTAGTCTTTTACCAAATCAAGAGCAAAACTTCCCGTAATTAGGGATTGAGTAGAACTGATAACAGACTAGCACTCGTTATGTCCGCAGTGGGATACCAGTCAAGAAATTGGACGAAAATCATAAACACGAATCAATAACTTTAAAATATCAATTTTACTCTTTTTAATAAAAACTTGAACACCGTTTTGCTCCTCGTAAATTACAATAGAACTATTAAAAAAGAGCAGTAGTTCACCTTTATATTATCTAATTTTAATTTTGATTATAATAATTTACTATAAAGCAGTGACTGGATAATTGAAAAGTCTTAGATTTTACTCGAAACGTAGATTTAGAAAAACAATTAAAAAAGTACTAGAAACTTCACAGAAAAAGTTTTAATATTCACCAGGCAAGAAACGAAATAAAATCAATAGCCTCTAAATCAATGACTACAAATAGGAGTTCAAAACTTGGAGAAGTACAGTCGGCGCAACTGCAATAATACCGACTACACTCTTATTCAGACCAGCTTCCACCAAACATGTATTCAAGCATATACATCTTACCACTTCCGAATCTCAACTTTCTATATACGAAGCCAGAAAACTTTCATGAAGCAAAGTTAACTAATACAAAATTGACCTGCAAAAATAAAAGAGAGCTTCACACTAATATAGCAGCGCATAAAAAAACGACATTTTTCAAGTCAGAGAACTATTACATAGCCTATTAGAAGAATAAAAGCTGTAATTTGTTGTGAGCGAACACCTGAGGAGAAATAACAATGTCATTGTTGACAGCCTTCATAACTTACAACGACTCGCACATAAAACATGGGCAACACTGAGACAATAATAAAATATTCATCTGAGAGGCTTCCATAAAATTGCGAATCTGCATTCGATAACTTTCATTTGCTTCACCACGGACAACGTACATAGATTTCCAAAGAGAGGTTGTATTCTAACAAGCCACGACCAAAATAAACATCCACGTAAACAAAAATGTTAAATTTTCGATTTCAACTAAAGTTACAGATGACACTAAAGAAACTTGCAATTTCTCACTAACACTTGCGCAATACCACCCAAGTCTCTCCAAAATTTATCAATGGGTCAAAACTTTACGCAATGACAATCTTAATATCCCTATCATCGAACTCATTGCCGACATGAACGAAGCATGTTTCTCCGTCTCTACTGAAAGTTGTGAACGCTCGGTCCAACACTCGGGGCATGTCTCCATTCTCAGGTTCAAATGAAGGCATTAAAACATAACCATGAGAGGGAATGTTCGAGCCAGCGTCAGTAGTTACAGAAGACTTGTTCTGAGTAGCGTCTGTAGGCCCAGAACATGACAATGCAGAGCTACACACTGCGTCCATATCTACAGTATGAGTTGAAGACGCCGATGCATTAAAAGCTTCACCAGAGGCTTCAAGCACACCAGGAGAACACGTGTCCATTTCGGTTATTTCTATAGGAATGAAGCCGCACGAGACATGAGGAGCTGGATTATATGAATTCAACACGATTGTCTCCACTGAAGATGCTTCGGGAGAAGCAAAAGAGGAATAGATTCTCTTCGAGTTCTTTTCAACAGATGATGAATGCCTTAAAATTTCCGTATTTATGGCTTCACTAGAAAATGACGGAGTTTGAAGGATATGGTTAGAATGCCGTACGTCTTGAGCTTGATCATTGTTGAATGTAAGTGTAATTATACCCTCTGATGCACTGGCTTCCATGTCATCATTAACAGGGAATCCGTCCACAATTGGTAACCTTGACAACAAGTTTTCAGAAATCGCCCTAAATTCATATAATTGCCTTTCGTCCGAAGAAGAAGCTAGTCGATCAATGACAGCATGGAAGTTTTCCAAGACTTTCTCTCGTACGCGTTCTAGTGATCTTTTACTGGCATCAGAGTTTCGGACTTCAGATTGTACAGCAATCGGCGGCAGATGACTAATGCTATCTATTTCTTTCTCGGGTAGTTTGATTTTGGAGATTTTTTCTAATCTAGGAATGATTGGCGGCAAGTCGCTGGCAAGAGACGACGCCTGTTTACGCTTCACCTTCATCATCACGTTGTAGACGTCTTTAGACTTGATCAAATTTGTACGCTGAGCAGAATCAGGTTTGTTTCCTAGAACATCTTCAATTATTTCACTGAAGTTCATTCCAGTATTTAGTTTACTGGATATAATTTGTTTATCTGCTTTCGGAACTCTGAGATGAACAAGTTGTAAGTCGTGACCATAATGAGAGTTACACAAGTGCATCATCACTCGGCCGGTTGCAAACAACTCTTTAGTTTTGACATAGGCTGTGCAATGACCTTCGATTTTACACGAGCCTTGATTTTTTGTACGCCGCTGAACTGTTTGCTTGGATACTCTATAGAAACCTGACCTATTACAGCGATAATAAACCACTTTAGATTTCTGATTGAAATTGGCAGTATTGATGCAAAATTCCACGTTATTCTCACGTTCAAATTTTTTCAAAAAATTATCGAATTTCGCCGAATTTTCAAATTCAATAACTATCTCGGTGAAGGAATGACCATGGCACTGGGACAAGTGTTCACGAAGTTGCGACAGTTGGAAACACTTGAAATCACACCCCATCTCTTGACACCGCACTTTTTTCTCCTTGTAACCTGCAATAGAGCAGGGAAATCACTGTGACAACATACCATATATTTTCAGTCCCTAAAAATTTTAAGTAAACTAATAAATTTTCCAACAGGATTACACATGGTTCAGGATTAAATTTTCCTCACCTAGTGACATCTAAGGAGAAAAATATGAGGGCAGCAAATTTTCATGAAAATATATTGCAATTTTTAGCTCCTTACCATCAGTTTTGTCCATTCTGTGAACTTTGTGTATGTGAAGAAGAAGTCCTCGATGAGACTGGAGGATTCTAGAGCAAATTGAACATACATGCTTCTCAAGACATTTTAAAATTGGAGATGAACTCATTGTGGTTTAGTTCTGTTTTTAATGAAACAAATATTATAATCAACTAATTGGAAAACTTGTAATTAATTTTATTTCACTACAGATTGCAAAACTTGTTGAATTAAATAAGCTACATTAACTCAGAATATTTACATAATATTTATTTGGGACCAAACAAAGCAGTTCGCAGCAAAATTGCTGGCAATTCCACTTGAACTCATGGCATGGTTACTAAACATGGCGCAAACACATGTCTCTATGCCCCAAGTATGGTAAGGAAGATCTAGTTGCAACTTGGCGATAACAGAAATTCCACCCATATCACTGCTACAAAATGAATACTAAGCTACTTATATACTGGAAGGAACTTTTTATGCAGTTTCATTTATAAGATAGATCATTTCCAAGTATCAATGTCACTACAGCATGGAATATATTTTCCTTATAAGCTGCAACTTGAGCCTTCCTGCCATTTGTAGCTGCAAAATTCCTGCTGAATTATCCCTTATCAAAATTTTTAATAAGAGTGCAATCAGTAGATGATTGAGGCTTCACCAGAGGTTTCACTAATAAATTGACTAACACCAGAGGCTTCAGCAGTGTGGAATTCTAGAGGGATATTAAATTAACCAGTACACATAGCATATTGGAAAGCAGGACCTGAAAGGTTGGAAAGTCCAGGAACTTTCCACTTCCAGTCCATTTTATTATATACATTATACATAGCCTATCACTTTTCAACTGTGATTGGTTACTTTATGGGATTGTGATTTTAGCCCCTTCCAGCTTTCCAGCTGTGATTGGTTAATGGAGTTGTAATGTTATCTGCTTTCTAGCTGTGATTGGTTGCTGGGGATGCTTTCAAGCTGTGATTGGTTGATGGGGATGCTTTCCAGCTGTGATTGGTTTACCTGGCAGAGCACTGTATCTAAGGAAAGCATTCCACCTTGGGTGGAAAGCTTTTTTATAAGTGAACCTCCATTTCTAGAATTCCACCCTGGGCTTCAGACCTCTTAATTAAAAAATGTAAATTTTTTAATTAAGCTTTTAATTAAGAGCTATTAAGATTTTAATCAAGAAAATTTTAATAATTGGACACAGCTTGGAACGAGCTGTGTGTGTCTAATTCCAAGCTGTGTCAGAATTAGTTTTTATGTGTCTAAAACTGTCACTCAACTTAATCATCTATTAATTTATTTAGGTACCACTTGAAATCAGCAAATACAAGTATACTTAAAGGATTCCTAATATATTTGCAGACTTATTTATAAGTCTTGAACCATAATACCTATTCTTTCTACACAAACAGTTCATCATTATTTGGTAGAGCAAGGTCAACTATCAACTTTGACACATTTTTTGATGTTCTCACTGGGTGACATGCACTGTCTCCCTTTGGATCTTAACATTTTCCTGCCAGACGGCCCAGACCCAATTTTTTGGCAATAGTATGGCGTGCAATAGTATGACGTCACTATTTCAACCATCAACAAATGCGTGGAACTAAGACAAAGCTTAATATAAAGGAAAAAGTTGAGAAGTGTTGGAATTACCCACGATGTCAGAATATACAGCGTTTACCTAACGCATGCGTGGAACTAAGACGAAGCTTAACATCAAGGAAAAAGTTGAAAAGTGTCAGAATTACCCACGATGTTGGTCGTTGGACAGTCGGAATATGGTGCGTTTAACGGTTTACCCTACCTAGGCTAACAAGTTTTGCTTAAGGCAGCAAATTCCCTTGAAATTCAAATTTTAAAAAGCAAAATAGGGTAAACGTGGTATATTCCGACACATTAAGGACGCATCGAGAAATGAAAAACTATAAAAAAAACGTATGCGTTACGTAAGTTCTGTTGCCTTCACATGACTCTCAAAACACTTCACTAC